AGGATTTTATTCTAATTTATTCTAAAAATAGAAACAAAAAAGAATGGAATAAGTAATCCAATAATGCGATTAAAAAGAATATAGGTAGTTATATTATTATATTTGATAATATATTTCTTATACAGATGGGTTCTAGAAAATAGATTTAACATTACTATTCCATTAATAATGATGTTTATTGGTGGAATGTATTTTACCACAATAGGTAGTTTAGTATCAAATTATTTGATAAATTCATTTTCTTCAAAAAGTGTGTCAGTGATTACTATTCTAAATTTTGTAAAAATAGCATTTTCATTAATTATAACCCTAACAGGTAAAGAAATAATTATTATTCATTACAAAAATATTCATTAATGTATACTAATAAGATACGTTCGATCGACTTATTTCTTGTTAAAATCCTTTAAACAGTGAGTTTTATGTTTATTATATATAAATATTTCGTACACCAATTATATATACTAATCATTATTGATCGTTTCAGACTATGTATATTTGCAAATAGTGAGTATAATAAATATGTAAGTGTTTGAGCAAGATATTTATCGCTCTATTGAAATCTCTGTCTACAAACAAGTCACAGTTATCACATCTAAACACTTTGGACTCGCCCAAAGTGTTTAGATATGATAACTATGACTTGTTAGTAGACAGAAATTTCAATGGAGCGAGAAATATCTTACTCAAACACTTGATGGAGAATATCAGGTTCCTGTATCTGATTTATGATTGCTAACTCTGTAATCTTGATTACTAATAATACTTTTCAATGTAGGAGCTGCTTCAATACAAGATATGTTAGGAATTAGATTAATGTTTACTTTACTATCAGTATTAGCTACATTAGGATGTAGATATCTGGTCTTAGTTTTTATCAAAGAGAAAAGAAAAGGCAACTTGAATGAAATTAACAAACACATTCAAGAAAATCAAGAACAAGATGATAAAAACAAAAAAAGAAAATATCAAATAAGATATAGTATGATCCCTTAATAATAAATAAGTTATAATATAAAATAAGATGCCAGAAAATATTTTATTATCATTTTAATTTATTTTTATTTCTTATCTGTAATTTAAATTTATTAAATAAACTATGAGTAAATATTATAACTATAAATAAGTCTGTTAAGTTTATTTTAAATTGTCGATATTAATAAGCAACTAAGGAAATAACATGTTATCTATTAAATTTATTATGAACACGAAACTTGTTATCAAATAATTGATTCAATGCTTATTTCTTTAATTATTTATGAAAATATTCTCATACTAAGGAAATAAAGTGATCATATCGTTATATACAAAATCAAAATAAGATGACAAGTAATGAATACAATTTTGAATATAAATAATTTTACTAGTTTTTTATTAGTAAGATATCTTAAAATATTTCCTATATATCTAGCTACCTATCAAAATTGTTACAACTGATTTTTGTAATTGTCTAAGAGTAACAATAGGTCAAAATTACTCAAATTTTACTAATGAATCACTGTTACCAGATCTAGTTTCTCAAAATTTATATTTTGAATAAAAAAAAAGTTAATTTTAGCTGAAAATTACATAATTTATGTAACGTGAGCCAAAATTTTGTCGATTATAGCTGTTAGCCAATCAAAATCGAGAATCTGCTATGAAGCATCAGCTGAAAAAATTTTTGATGATATGCGTATTTAACTACCTCAAGAACTAGTAATTCTGGCTAATCAAAATTTTCAACTGCTAAGCTGATAAAATTTTATCAGCTAAGCCAGCTTAGTCGATTTTTTATTAAAATTTCAGAATCCTTTAGAAGATTAAGTTCGTTTATTTTCTACTTTAGAATTTTTAGGAATATCATAATAAAATCGATTAGCTGATTTTTAAAAAAATCAACTAGCTAAGCTGATTTTTTGTCTAAGCCAAATTTTTCACTATCAGCCAGGATCACTACTAAGAACACCTCCAATTTTTCTGTACGGTCATATAATATACATCATATTAGTAGTAATGTTAGACAATTGATTTACTGTAATATTATATATACATATATAGTATACGTAGAAGGAAATAATTATATATAATTCAAAATAGTTGTTACAGTCAAGACAATATGATTTTAAAATATTTAGAGTTAGCAGTCGAATCTCGAGTTATCTGATATTTAGTATTAATATTATTGATAGCTTTTAAATTAAAATATACAGATATACTGTACATAACGATATATTTATATAATATGTTTTAATAATCTCAAGTCTTAAATCATGATTCATTGTCACCAGTAAAAGATCTGAAAAAAATATATGTACTGTATAATGCAAAAACATATACAAAGATAGTAGGTAGAGAGATAATTAAAATGTCAAATCTGGTAATGCAGGTGAATCATCTCAATGATTGCTATAACTTTGCTGTAACTTGTCCTTATGTAAAGAAAGCAGAGTTCTTAATCACACCTCTGTAATATAGTACTTTTTTAATAATAAATTATATATACAAATATATATTGAAACTTTTTTATTGCATACTCCTGTAATAATAATATTTTTTTTTATTGAATTTTTTTATTGTTTTTTTTTTGTTTTTCAGCTAAAGTTGTAGGTGTGATTACTTATTATATAACTAATAAGCATTTATAGCTGTTTTTATAAATTCTGAGATATCTGGCAAAAAATAGTCTGAACAAATATTGCCAGTTCAATAAGTTTGTGATTTAGCAGTGATAAACTTTTAGAATTATAGTAATTCACATTCAAATCAAAAGTTTATCACTACTAAATTACAAACTTATCGAACTAATAATATTTGTTTAGATTATTTTTTGTCAGATATCCCAGAATTTATGAAAACAGCTATAATATGAATATTATATAGCAAATGTTTATTTATCACATAGACAATTGGTTACATCTTTACTTTTTTATTTGCTAGCTGAAGTTTTGAATGTGACAGCTTATTATATGACAAATATGCATTTAATATGAATGTCATATAGTAAATATTTATTTGTCATATAGATGATTGGTCATACTTTCACTTTAGATAAAGCATGATTTTGGAAAAAAATAAAAATTAATTACTAAATTGTATAATGTTGAAGTTATATAAATGTATTTGCATATCATATTATATGACACAAATCGTTAAACCTTCAGAAAAAATCTTTTTAAAACTTATTAAAAATAACTTTTTTTTAAAAAAATAATTTTTTTACTTAAAAATTTTAAATTTTTTATTTTTATAAAAAACTTTTTAAAGATATAAAATTTAATAATAAATAATTATATTATTTAATAATTATTAATACTAAATAAAAATTATAAGTTTTAATATATATTTTATCTAAAATTTTAATAAAATTATTAAATTAAAATTTTGAAAAAATAGATACAAACCAATAATTACAAGTAAAATTTTTAAAAATTTATATTATTTATTTTAAAATCTTTTGTTTTCTTTATATATATAACAAATAATTAATCATATTTGCTGAATTTTTTTTTTTTTTTTTATTGAGATAGCTTGAGATGGATTAATATCAAAACAACAGAAAAAACAAAGACTAACTCCTAAACACTTATTAAAAGTTTATGCTAAATTTGAAAATAAAACTAAAGAAGCAAGAAAAAAAAGATTAAAAAATTTAAGTGTTGCTAAATCAAGATATTATAAAAATCTTGATATTTCTTTACAATAACAACAACAACAATAATAAAAACAATAAACTCAAATACAAGCTAGACCTTTAACAAGAACAAGATCCCAAATACAACAAAACTTACTAGTTATAGTAAGAACAAGAATATATAAACAAGAAGCTGCTAAATTGAGACAACAAAAAAGAAGAGTTAATATGAGTGTTCAGAAGAAAAAAGTACAGAAAGCAAAAGATAAAGAGAGAATGAAAAAAAGATATAAAGAAAAAAAACAAGAACAATATGAATAATTTTTTAGAATAGGATATTGTAAATTAGATAATTATTTAGAAAATAGAATAGTGAGAGAAGATATAGAGGATGAAAAACATAGATTAGAAAAAATAGATATTATTTGTGAATATTATTATATATTGAAATAGAAAAAAGAAATAAAAAGTTTTTGTTGTTTAAATAAACAAGTGTAATTAGCTTCACTTGCTTTATTACTATAGAAATTATTTAAATTTCTTATAACAAATATCCTAAATCTAAAGAACTATTTGTAAATAAAATAAGAGTATATAATTAAGTACTTGCTTTTAGTTCAATTAGTACAAATTTAGATAAAGATCTTGTTAATATCAAAGAAAAAAATTATACTTATAGAATTCAGGATCAATATTATCATCAAATTAGTTCTTTAATACCAAGTGATGAAAGCCAACTACCAAAATTTGCTCAAATATATTTTTATGATTCTAATATTAATAATCAAATTAGAAGAAGAAATAAAATTATAAAAGATAAAGGGATTTTAAAAGAACTTTCTAAAGAATTACTTGCAATAAATCTTTTTATAAATATTTTTCAAACTGCAAGGGAAAAACATAGAACAGAAAGAGAAAAAGAAGTATTAGAAATTTTTATTTATAATACTCATAGAAAGAATATAAGATAATATAATATACTAATAGCTAAAGAAGTTGCTGCTATATATTTCAGTGATACTCTAAGGTATAAAAAAGATATTCTTATTAGAAAAAAGAATAATAGACTTTACATATCTCTGAATTACATGATACTTATAATTTTTTATAATATCCTTTATTTTTTTTTAATAGTAAATATAGTTGGCATGATAAAATATTGAAAGCAAATATTCAAAAAAATATTGAGCAACAACAAATTCAAGTAGAAAAAGATTAGCAAAAATCAAATAGTAATGATAATTTATATACTACTAATAAGCAAATAAAAGAAATAGAAGAAAGAATTGCTGAAAAATCTTAAAAACAAAAACAAATTATTGTTCAAAGTACTACTCAACTTTCTAAACAAAGTAGTTCTAATATTACTAAACAAACTATTATCTTTAAATCTAAAACTAAAGAATCTCTTAGTATCTTACTTGTACAAAGTCATACTAAAGCAATCTTAAATTTTTGAAAAGATAGAAATTATATCTTCTACAAGTATAAGTATAAGTGAAACAGGTGAAGATAAATTTTCAAAATCTAAAAAGAGAAAAGGAAAAGAAAAGGCTACAGAAATTGAACCTGAAGAAAAAGAGAAGGATAATAATTCAAAAATTAAAAAAACAAAACTTTCAAAAGAATATCTAAAATAACTGAATCTGAAAATGAATATAGTAATAAAGATTTAGAGTTATTAGTAATTTAAAAAGAAAACAAATATAAAAGAGTTATAATAAAAAAATGTATAGTTTATAGATATATACTTAAAGACACAAATAGAACTAAAAGTTGAATAGAAGTAATCTTAAGATATTATTTATTATTTATACAATAACTTTATTAAAAGATATTCTAAAAATATTATTCTTAATAGTAAAGAATATTACAAATTTAGATTTTTAAAAAATTCTTTATATTTTTTTTATTATATTATATAAAATCCTAACTTTGATATAAGCTTTAAAAAAAGATTAATTAATTTGATCATTAATATTATAAAGAAATAGTTTAGATAAAAACTCAAAAAATAATTTAAATATAATTATTAACTTTATTAACTAATTTTTGTTACTAATAAGTATTAATTTTTTTTTTTTATTACTTAGATGATCTTGTTTTTTATTTATTGAGAGAAAATATATAATAATGTTATAACAAAAATATAAACTAAGCAAACTAACTATATAATTGTTCTATCTATACAAATCTAAACTTACTTAGCTACCAAAAATTGCTCAGATATAATCTAACTATAATAGCTAAATTTTCTTCTTAAAAGAACTATTTGTCTAAGCAAAATTATATTTTTTTGATTAACAGAAAGTTACTATATACTGTTCTTATTAAAATTGCCTAATTTTCTAACCTTTTACTTCTAGCTTTCTAAGTTAAAAAA